TGCCACCTTTATACCTTAGTGGTATTGTTGGTTGAGTTTTGTGGTGTTGAAGTAACTTTGTGGTGTATGTGTCGATTTAAACTAAGCTTAATAGTTGTGGTTGTCGAAGGTATTGGTTTTGTGTACGATGAAACTTCTTGGTGGTGCAATAAATTTGAAAAATGGTATAGAGCCATGGATTTAGTGTTCTTGGCATGGAAGCTCATCAAGAAGAAGCAAGAAACGACAATGTACGTAAGATAAAATTGTTGAAAACACTCAACCATAGCTATTGGCCTATTTTTCGAACAAACTATCCGTTGATTGAGTGAATGACAACCATATAATTGCTCCAGAAGATGAGGCGCACTTTCGTGATCGGTGCATGCAACACGTGGACGTGTAGAGACGGTGATGCGTGAAGTCTACGCACAATTTCGACGATGCGTTGCACTATTTTGACAATGATCTTCAAAGGCAATTTGTTCCCACCGTACTATGGACCATTTGGTGGTGTGTGTTTTGTGTTTCTGGCAATACGCTAATTCTCGACAATTTTGCCCTTGAAAGTTCACTTGACGAGTGCTATTGTTGTGTTGCTGTCGAGCGAACAGTGGTTGTTCTGAAGTTGTAAAATTCACATCTCTTGTTAATTTACGAACCGACAGAATGATCTACTCAATATATTGTTCTTTCTTTTTCATTACTGTAGTTAAAGCTATCGTTGGGATAGCCATTAACTTTTCGCATTAGGGGTCATCTTGTGGGTGTGGTTGTTAGTTTTGGGATTATCGTGTGGGTGCTAGATTATCATTTGCTAATTTGTGCCTCGAATTTATTTTGGCCATTAGTATTATTTATGACCTAGGGTAAGCTTGTTAGGCTATTCTACGTGATTTGTGCCTCAACTTTCCTTGTGGTTATTGCTTGGTTGCATTCTGTATTTTGTGCATTTTTAAGTAAAATGACAATACAATTTGAGTTGGGTATTTTTAATGGCTAAGATGATTTTTCGATTTGCCAACAAAAAATGAAAGGCCCAATTTAATGTTCAGTCTAAGTCGGGAGTGAAAGGCAAAATGTAAAGATGTTATAGGTTCGTAAATTTGGATAATTTATAAGAGACTGTCATAAAAAGAACAATAAACAGAAAGAAGAAATGAGAGATGAGGTGAACGTTGTCATTAGGTCTAGTTATGACCAGAGCGAGGTTTATTCATAATAAACTCTCTTGTGGTTACTATTACATTCACATCTGTGTGTGAAATCTCATTTACATTAATAATTGCTTGATTCTTTACATCTTATTATGATTGGTGTGTACATTTCCATGAATTTAATACTGCTTATGTTACTAAATGTAAAGTATTGTGTGCATAGCGGTTAGGATTGCCATTGTGAGGTTTGAAACTAGGTGTGTTTTCACGTTAATAGGTGCATTAGTAGAAATTTGACCAAATGGTAATATTGATAATAGATGCCTGAGGGCACGTTGGTGACATGTATAGGGAATGTGTAGGATTGGCATTTAAATTACTAGAGTTGAGGTGATTGAATGTTTTGGAATTCTCTATTTGTTAAAATCCCGAATGAGTTGAAAGTGTGACACTCCTATTACCTCTATTAGGTGGAGACCCATTATTTACCAAGTTTGAGAGATGTGAGATAGTGGTAGAGGAATATCCCACTGGCTCAAGATCTTTAGTGATTTAAAAGTTAGACAAGAGGGGTGCACAATCTAGTGAACATAGCTAGTGATGAGAGGAGTGGCGTGTTCTCTAGATATGAGCTACACAGAATGTGATAGGGTAATTGTGGAGGGACCTTTTCTTGGGAACATTCATGCATTGGTTGCATCTGTTGACTATTTATTTTATTAACTTGGTGTTAATTTGTTGTTCTCTTGTACGTTGAACACGTTGAAAAGATCTGTGTATTATCATATGGTGTGCTCTCATTGAATGTTTAGTCATCTATAATTGTGTATTATTATGTGCTCTTGATTGAGTCCTGAATGAATGTAAGGTGTTTACATTGTCTTTATGATAACATGTGTTGTTTTGTCTAAAGTTGAATTCCTTATTAGTTAGGTATAAAATGTGTATATTGGTTCACTATGCAATTTTTTATTATACTGGAGTTTAAAGTTTGACCTTGGTGAGTACACTTAGCAGGTAAGGTATATGTTTTGGGTAAGAGATATTGGTAAGTTCTTTGACTTCCAATTTAGCCCCAGTCTGGCCCCTATTAAATTACTTTCCATTACATTCTATTTTTCTCTTATATTTTCAACCACACAATCTTCCATAAAATAATATTACACGTAAATCGAACATTTTTCCTTCTTTTTCAACCACTTATTTTTTCAACAAAACACTATTCCTCCCATTTTCATTACCAAAAATGGGGGTCAAACGGGGGCTTATTTTGGATACCTTGATTAAGAAGTAGTAACCTCGTGTTTTTTTGGTTTGTAGGTTTATTAGGTCCGAAGGAGAAGATTTGTTAGTTTTTTTTGTTAATACCCAATAAATTTCTAGACTATTATGTTTATCACTTAAGTTAGTCTTATAGGCTCTGGCGGAGGATTTAATTAACACCACAAGATGAGACCTAAACCAAAAGCTTGACACATCCAAGATAGCTCAATAAATTTTGGAGTGTTAGAACATTAGTGAGCTTGGCCCATTTATGTGATTGACCTACTTTGGCTGATTATATATTCTTGCCTTTTTTTGTGAATTGAACAAGGTTTGGCAGAGAAAAAATAGGGCAGCTATTACTTTAGTGGTGATTCGAGTAGTGACTCGAGTGATGAAGGTGGTAAGATGAAGGGTAAGGGACGGGACAAGTCTAGTGGTAGACGATGTTATAGTTGTGGTAAGTCTTGACACTTTATTAGGGATTGTCCCAAGAAGAAAGATAAGCAGAAGGGTTATGTGAGAGGTGAGACGAATGTGGTTGAGGGGTCGAGTTATGACCCCAGTGAGGTTTATTGAGAGAGTAAACCTAGTCACTGCATATGCATCTGTGTGTGATCCTTTCAGCTTGTGTGTGATTACCTAATTTGTTGCATGACTATATGTTGCATTTCAATTTGTTTGATATGTGTGTTTGCATGAATTTGAGATAATGTGATTACTTGGTGTGATCGTTTGCATGCATAGTGGGTTAAGATGCATTAGCAGTGTGTTAGATGTCTTTTGGTAAAGTGGAGTATAGATGCCTAAGGGTACATGGTGATTTGTACCGGGGGATGTGGAGTGTGACATTTGGATCACAAGTGGAGATGTGATCAAATGTGTAGAATCATTTATCTGTGAAAGAGACCCTGTACAGGTGGAGTGCGAGAGAGGCACTTTTATCACTTCTGCAAGGTGGAGTCCCATTATCCACGTAGGTTAGGAGAAGTAATGTGGTGATAGAGGATTATCCCTAAACTTAAGATCTATTGTGACTTGCCATTTTGACATGAATTGTGTGATCTATTTAGTGAGCATGATTGGCGATGAGAGGAAATATGTGTTCTCGAGGTAGGAGTAACACTAAATGGGATAGGATAAGTGTGGCGGGATTTTTCGTGAGTTCATTTATGCATTTGTTGCATATGTATTTGACCGTGTGCTGATTAACTTGGTGTTAATCGGTGGTTCTGTGTGAACGTGAATTTGAAAAGATTTGTGTGAGGTATCCTATATAATATTTTTATCGCATGATTAGTTGTTCACTGTAAGTACTTGTTTCTACCTATGTGTTTTTTGGACCTTAGCTCCGATGAGTACATGGAGCAGGTATAGTGTGTGTTTCGGTTCGAAACATGAGGTAAGGTCGGAGATACCAATTTTATTGAATTACCTTGATTGTGCAAGTTTAAACTTTGTGTTTTGGTTACTTGCAGATTATTGGGCATCAAGATGGAGATTGTTGGGTTTTTGATACCCAATAATCTCGGACAATAATGTTAAATAGTGTCGGATAGTCGGATTAGATTTCATAGGCTTTGGTCGATGATTGAAATATTTATTAACACGCTTGATTAATTGGCTCAACCTGAAAAATAACTTGAGGGTCGTTTGAAGCAACTTAATAGAGTTAATGTTGCTCACGGCTCATTTACTTCTTGGATGGCTCAATTTGTGCTCCGCCCCCTTTAACCATTAGTTGGTCCATGAGCCCACTATATTATTACACCCTAAAAATATATATTGCCCTCGTTTTGTTGAATGAGCCGTGTGTTTTGCAATTGAAAAGAGGCAGCCATCATTTTCTCTAGTTTTCTCTCTTGAGCCTTAAAATTGAATCTGTCTTCCTCTATTCTTGGTGATTCATTGCAGCCACCATATTGTATTCTTTGTGAACACATTGACTTGAGCAACCGAAGTAAGAATCCTTGTTTTAGTTGGAGCCATTGTTGGGTGTGTTTAATAAGGTTGAGATTGGTGAAACTGAGCCCGGAAAATCCACCATCGGAAGTCGATTATTCAACATAAACGCTTATTGGATTTTTTCCTTGTTTAGTTGCCAACAGCTGTTGTTCAAGCATGAAGATCTTGTTATTGCTTGATCTTGAAAATCTTTTCTTAAGCTTGCTCCACACTTCTGAAGTAGAATCACAGGACATGATATATACGCCAATCTCAGATGAGAGACAGTTGGTGATCCAAGATAGTATCATGTGGTTGTACCTCTACCACTGTGAGCATTTCTCATCGGTCTCAATGGGTTTTTTGATGGTGCCATCAATGGAAACTAATTTTTTTTTTGGCTGAAAGGGCTACATACATAGCTCTACTCCAATAATGGTAGTTATGATGGGTTAATGGTTGGGAGACTAAAACAAGTCCAGGGCTCTCCCTATGATGTAGGAAATAGGGATTGGAAAAATCATCTGCAGGTTGGTGAGCTTCATCCAAAATGAGGTTTGATGAAGAAGAAGGTTCTGGTGTGAAGAAAGGATGTTAGGATCGGTGAGAAAGAGAGATTCAAAGCTCCAACTCTGATACCATTATAAAAGAGGAGTATTTGATCTTGGAAACCAAAGAATTTGTATTGATTGAATTGAGATTCTACAAGATCTTTACTCCTAATTTATACACAATGGTTAACAAAAAATACAAATCTGTACAGATCATAAAACAAAACAATAGCCTACAGCTGTCTATTTCCCTGTAGTCCCCATCATAGACTTCAAATATGGTAAGCCTGCTTAATTTTCCTTATACATCAAAGCCTGGTTTTCCATACAAAGCTAAGTCAAACTGATATATAGGGAACTGCATCATGTAGCTGTTCCTCAGAAATCTGCACAGACTGATTTTCTTCAATATTTTCTCAATATAGATGCAAGAAGGTTCTTTGTGGGATATGCATTTATGGGCAACGTCAGTGATACTGTTGATTAAACTTTGTGGTGTTGGAGTAACCCTAGTATGTGAGTCGATTTAAACTAAGTACTAACCTTTGTGTTGCCAAAGGTATCGATTTTTTGCACGGTGGAACTTCTTGATTGTGCAATTATTTTGATAGTATGAAACATGTATATACATAAAGAATAACAATCATGAATCACGAGCCAACTCGTAACTGAAATGAACATTTCGGTTTCTTCAATCTCTAACCCAAACCGACCCAAATATAGGCACCAAACTAAACTTAGTGCGTTGGTCGGTTTTGTCAGTTTAGCGGTCTAAATACTCAGTCCTAATCAAAGAACATGTATCATCAAGTCACAAGCTAGAAGACATTACTTTCGATTGTAATTGTTTATTTAAAATATTTTGGAAACCAACCAAACAAGTAATAAAACACAAACGAGGAAACTAACACAATGCTTAACGTTGAAATTTGTTAACAGCATTTGCAGTTCAAATCATACACCTCCACAAAGAAGGGGGGGCAATACAAGTTGATATATCGAATCATGTAGTGATCAATTCAAGATTGTATAGCTAAATATATATAAAATAAATAAATAAATAATCGTATGCTTAAAACAAAGGGAAATCCTTCTGAATTGGCAATAAACTTGTATGCAAATGCAATGTATCCAGAGCATGTTTAGCTAAACTTAAAATTTACTTTTATTGCCAAAAATGTTTAAAGTTTTATTGAAGTTACTTCTTGTTTTGAACTTTCGGTACAAAATCTAACCTTTTCACAACATGACAAGAACACGATATATTCATCTCCAGAAGTGATCTTTGCATCCCTTAAGCTTGGATGAAACAATACTGTTTATATTCAAAAATCACATCCTCAAAAATGCTGTTTATTCCATTGATGGAAGTTCTCACTAAATTGGCAAGAATAGCATACCTCAAAAGACATGTCATACTGTAATTTTGGATCAACAACTTTCTTTATACGATTGGCCTCCTGGCAAACATGAAAATCAGAAGCCTTGCACTACTTATCAGATTAATTTGAAAGATGCAACAGTCTAGAAAAATCAAGAAACTTCACGTCAGATATTAATCACTTGACGATAATGGATTTGAGAAATTTTCGAATACAAGCACCCCAAAGAAGCTTGGGATAGGCTTCAAACATTCTACAAAGGAGGGGAGAAAGTTAAGAAGTTGTACCCAAACTTTAAGACGTGAGCTCGAATCTCTATAAATGAAAGAATCTAATTCTATTTTCGAATATTTTCTCTAGAGTACAGAGTGGTTATGACATCTAAGGTTCAGGCATCTCAACTGTGGTATGAGGTTCTAATCCAAGAACAGAATGTTGAAGGAGTTGCATTTATTAATTACCAGAATCAACTTTGCGAAGGATGTTTACTATGAAACATTTTCGAAAGGGCTTTTCAAAAAAAGTGAGCCCAAGTGAAAAGAAGCTAATAGAACTCATTCGTATCAATGCATGTATGCCGATCCATCCGTCCTCTCTAGGAAAGAAAAACTATTTCCTTCTGTTTATTGGAAGGATAGAGCGGAAGAAAGTTCGACATCTTACTCTTGAAAGCTCCCATGTGTAACATTCCAAAATTTATTTTCTCATGTAGGTCTTAAATTTTGTTAATTTAACTTTGATCATTAGCAAATTAATTGGTCTATGCTTAGCCTTGTCATTACACTAAAGTTCATTAAATAAAATGATAATACAATATATGTATATATTTTTTTGAAAAAAGAATTATTTCCTAATTATGCATTTTTTAATTTCTTCTAAGTATTATGTGTGCCAAATAATTGGGTATAGTAGATGTTGATAAAAATATATTAATATGGGTCTCATTTTGTAGATCGGATTATATTACGTAAATCGGGTCCAAGAGAAATTTATTTTGAACACATTATGTCAAGTTATTGTGGTTGAAACGAAATTTATGAAACCATTTAGTTTAATATTAATTATTATTTTTCTTTGCATTGATTGGTTGACAAATGTGTGAGATTTCACATGTGGTAAAAAAATAACCAATTTTATAACTTGGTTAGTTTTGATATTTAATAGTGGTCTACGTCTGTGTAAGTTACGAGAACATGTAGTGGTTTTTCTCAAATACTTGGCCATATTTTTTACCCGCTCACCAATCACATTTATATAATGCTTATACACACGATTTTTAAATACATACAAAGTTATCAACTCTATATATTTTGCTATTCTTCAAGTCAAGGAAAATAGGGAAATTCTTTTTCAAAGTTCTTAGCAAATTCAGATTTTTAAGGTAAGATGAATAAGTGCAGTGGTTAAATTTTTATTCTCCATGATATCAATATTATGATTGTTAAACATCAATAGAAACATCAATAATCCCTTCTCATTGTCATAGCATGTTAGGGATGTCAACGAGCCGAGCTGGCTCGCAAGCCAAAATTTGAGGCTCGGGCTCTACTTGGGTAAAGTGAGCGGGCTTTTTTCCGAGCTGGGCCGAGCAAAAGCTCGGTCAAAAAAATTTTCCTCGACCTGAGCTTTTGGCTCGGGCCGAGCCAGATAGGCTTGCTTTTTTTTACCCCTTTTTTTATATAATTATTAATGGTTGCCTTAAAAGGCAACTAGTTGCGGTTTCCTCTTAAGGCAGCATTTTCCAGAGAAAGATTGTGATTGATTTTCCATGGATTCTTTGGGCTGTAAAAGAAGAAGAAGAATTGCTCTAGAGAGAACTACTTTCTACTCCTCCTGAAACCCTAGAAGCCAGTATCCCTCTTCTTGCTTGAGAGAGATGAAGAAATGGCTATATGTGTGTGTGTGTGTGTGTGTGTGAACTGGGTTGAGAGTAGGGGCATCTATATGTGTTAATAAAAGGGCCCATCCCATTATGAGCTCACAAAATGACCAATGAAATGCTAGTTCATAAATTTAAATACAACAATCTCCCACTTGGATATCATTTCGTTTAATCATTACATAAACACAAATAAGCATCTCAAGACCAAAAAACCTTGTTCAAAATGTGCTTATAAGTTCAAACCAGTGAATAATATACCGACAGGATATACAACACATGACTAATACTTGTATTCACGTAACATAGGCCAATGAGATATAGAAGCGGTATGGAAAATATCGAAAGAGTGATAAACACCCGTTTCCATAAGAAGCCCTAGAGACAAATCTAAAAGTCTTTAAAAAAATGATAAGCCTTGTACCAAATATAGTTGTAGCACATAGCTTAATGATCATAGCGACAGGTTATATGATACTAAACATACACTTACAACTGCCAGGCTTAGACATAGACTAAAACATACTGTCACTTATAGATAATACGCCTTGTCCACAATGCGCGTGACTCAAGCATGAGACTAACCAAAATGTCTCAACACATATAATCATTGCCTTATCCAAAAAATTCTCGTGATTCAGGCACGAGATTGATCAAAATGTCTCAATACATATAACAATTGCCTTATCCAAAATGAGCATGATTCAAGCACGAGACTGATCAAAATGTCTCAATACATATAATCATTGTCTTATCCAAAATGCGCGTGACTCAAGCACGAGACTAATCAAAATGTATCAATATATCGTCCAAAATGTACATGCCCAGGCACGAGACTAATCAAAGTGTCTCAATACATAAAGTATGCCTTGTCCAAAATGTACGTGACTCAGGCATGAGACTAGTCAAAATGTCTCAATATATATGAACATTGCCTTGTCCAAAATGCGTGTAACCCAGGCATGAGACTAATCAAAATGTCTCAATACATAAAGTTCGCCTTATCCAAAATGCGCATGACTTAGGCATTCGTTGACATTACTATACTTTAATGACAAAACCGCATATGAGCATAAATAATATGTCAAAATAGCAATGATTATAGAACTCCCACTAACTAAATACAACATAAGACTCTAACAATCCCAAATGAGCCACATGTTCTTGAAACAATTTTGGAGCTAAACCTTTAGTTAGTGGATACGTGATCTGTCTAAATATGCTCAATACAAATATAAGACTCAGCTATTTTCTCTCTAACAAACAAATACTTAATATCAATATGCTTGGAGCATGAAGAGCTCCTAGTATTCGAGAGAAAGCAACTACTGCAGAATTGTCACAAAATATCTTCAATGGCCTCGAGATAGTGTTTACAATACCTAGCTCCGAGATAAAGTTTCACAACCATATAGCCTGACTTGTAGCTTCATAACAAGCCACATACTCTGCCTCCATTGTAGAGGAAGTAATAAGAGTCTGTTTTACACTTTTCCATGAAATAGCTCTTTCTGCCATCCTAAAAAACATAACTAGAAGTATATCTTCTGTCATCTAAACAACCTACAAAATTGGCATCATAATATCCAACCACATCAAGAATGTCATATCGTCGATATGTAAGCATTAGATCTTTAATGCCTTGTAAGTGAGCCAAACTAGGATCACTCAAGTATCTACCAAGTACACTAACAACATAAGCAATGTCAGGCTGTGTACATACTTGAACATAGATCAAACTACCCACAACTGAAGAATAGGGAATTGTTTGCATTTGAGGCCTCTCGTCATCATCCTTACGGCATTGAAACTCAGAAAATTTGTCACCTTTCACAATAGGTGTTGTACTAGGAGAGCAAGAATTCATATTAAACCTACTCAAAACTCAATCAATATAGGTTTTCTGAGATGATCTAAGAACGCCTCTAGATCTATCACAAAAATCTGAATCCCCAAAACATAAGAGGCCTCTTAAGATCCTACATATCAAAATGAGATGACGATATGCACTTACTCCCAATGACCCTCAAGTATATGTATTGATCAACAACATTCTCCTTGAAATTGAAAGAAGTGACAATCACATCAAATTTTAATTACCACTGTCTTGATGCCTCCTTAAGCCCACAAATATACTTCTTAAACTTACACACCATGTGTACCCTTCCTTCTACTTGGAGATTATTTGGTTGCATCATGTACACATCCTCAAATAAATGTCCATTAAGAAAAGCTGTCTTGACATCCATTTGATGCAACTCAAGATCAAAATGAGCCACTATTGTCATAATAATCCGAAAAGAATCCTTGGTAGGAATAGGAGAAAAGGTATCCTTGTAATCAATGCCTTCTCTTTGTTAAACCCCTTAGCAACAAGCCTAGCTTTATACCTTTCCACCTGAACTTGAGAATTATACTTGGTCTTGAGAATCCATTCACAGCCAATGGGCCTACAGCTACAAGGTAGTTCAACTAAGCCCTATACTCCATTTCGAGACAATTGATGTCATCTCATCATGCATAGTATCCATTTAAAATGAAGATTTAGGACTATCAATGGCCTCCTTAGAAGCGGTCGGATCAACAGATGTACCAACATCAAACTCATGCTCCTACGAATAAATAAATATAATCATCAGAAATTGTTGGTCTACAAATTCCCTGTGATCTCCTCAAAATAATATCATCAGTTCCCTATATCAACATTAACCTCAGTGTCAACAACGAGGTCTTGGACATAGTATTTGTTTTCTTTGTTAATGGTGGCACAACCACTGATGAAGGAGTAACAGGAATAACAACACGCTCCTCCCAAAAACACAACTTTACGTGGTACAGAGCTCCCACTGTCACTATCATCCTCAAAGAAAATGGCTCAATCAGATTTAATAATCCTAGTAACATTAGAAGGGCAATAGAATCTAGATCCTCTTGATCCCACAGAATACCCAACAAAATATTCAGTAATAGTCTTAGGATCAATTTTCTTCTACTGAGGATTATAAGGCTTTATTTCTGCTTACAACTTCAAACACGAAAATAATGCAAATTAGGCCTTTTACCTGACCATAATTCATAAGGAGTTATAGGAACCGACCTGCTTAGTACTTGATCTAGAATGTAGGCAGTAGTTTCAAAACCTCACCCTACAAAAATCAAGCAAAGTGGAATGGCTAACCATACACCGCACCATGTCCACAAGAGTATGATTTCTTCTTTCTGCAATACCATTCTGTTCAGGGGTTTAGAGCATTGTATATTGAGCCTCAATACCACATGCCTCGAGAAAACTGCAAAAGATTCAAGATTTCTACCAATTTTATCATATCTCCCATAAAACTTACCTCCTCTATCCAATCTTACTGTTTTGATTTTCATGTTTTTCTGGAGTTCCACGACAGCCTTGAAGTCTTTAAAAGCTTACAATGAGTTTGATTTTTCTAAGATGAGCTCAATATAACCATAGCGAGAATAATCATTAATAAAGATAATGAAGTATCTATAATTTTTCAAAATGGTAGGTGAAATGGGACCACAAACATCAGTATGAATTAAATTCGAAATTTCCATTTTCGAAAAAAAAAAAACATATCCACATTTATCCAAATTCATGATAGCCAAATTAATAATGAGAGACTCATGCCAATCCTCATAATTGTTCCTGTTAGACTTTTGATAGCAGACCAAGAGAGAAACATAGCTGCATTTCCATAAGTTAAGGAGAATACAATAAAAATTTATTAAACTTATGAAATGACAAACATGCACCCACGTATGTATCCAATAGAAAAAACATATCCACATTTATCCAAATTCATGATAGCCAAATTAATAATGAGAGACTCATGCCAATCCTCATAATTGTTCCTGTTAGACTTTTGATAGCAGACCAAGAGAGAAACATAGCTGCATTTCCATAAGTTAAGGAGAATACAATAAAAATTTATTAAACTTATGAAATGACAAACATGCACCCACGTATGTATCCAATAGGCAAATTTATATCCATGCTAGAGTTTTATTCAAAATAAACTCTTACGCATTATGCTAGAGCCTAAGCCACGCAAAAGGCTCTTACGCATGACAAAACAAAATAATTAAATGCAAGGACTTAAGATGACCCCACTACCGAGAGGATAAAATTTGGCCACCAAGTGCCGATCACTTAACTATTATCTTTGTCGTCCTAAGCATCCTATCAAATAATGATTTACCGAGAGGGCAGATTCATCATCCACATGGATCTTAGTATAATGTCAATAAGTGGAAGCATAAACAATGTAACAATCCCGATAATTTATCATAACTAGTCCCATGAGAGGAGAGTACATAGCCACTCCAAACCATATGTATACAACAAAATTATGTGATCTATATGGATAAAATATTTATTCTTCTTAAAATAGATTATCCATTTCTTTTCTCCAATTAACTAACATGAAACAATATTACAAAAATTCATAAATGGGCATTTTTCAAAAATATTTGACTATTATAATAATAGATCTATTATTAAAACTCCCACAATTACTACCTTCCGCCACTTTGAATCTTTGAAAAGCATTTTAATATTATAATAATAGATCAATTATTATAAGTCTTCTTTAAGTCAAAGAAATTATGAAAAACATTTTAATATTATAAAAATAGACCAAACTCCCAGATTTACATTCTGTATCTTTGAAAAACATTAGAATATTGTAATACTAAATCAATAAGACTCCCAGATTCCAGATTCGTTGCCTTTAACTATTCTTTATATTTGAAAAACATTAGAATATTATAATAATAGATCAACAAAACTCTCAGATTTGCTGTGCATTACCCACTATCCAGCCATTTTGAATATAATAATAATAGATCTACAAAACTCCCATATGTGCATTACCTACTGTCCGGCCATTTGAATATAATTAATCAACGGCCTCCAATAAAAAAACTCATTGAAGAAGCCTAAATATTCTTGCTAATTAGGAGGAATCTTGCAATATAAAATGTCAGCTGTGAAAATGAAAAGGTTGGTTCTGATACCATTTTTTAAACATCAATAATCCCTTTTCATTGTCATAGCATGTTCAACTATAATAAAAGAACAACATACCTTCAATAGATTGTGATTGGTTTTCCATGGATTCTTTGGGCTGCAAAAGAAGAAGAATTGCTATGGAGAGAACTACTCTCTACTCCCCTTAAAACCCTAGAAGTCAATATCCCTCTTCTTACTTGAGAGAGATGAAGAAAGGGCTATAATATATATATATATATATATATATATATATAGGCCTCCATGTGTTAATAAAATGGCCCATTCCATTATGGGCTCACAAAATGAGTAATGAAATGCTGGTCCATAAAATTAAATACAACATACATATTATATATTTGAATAAGCCAATTCTATATTAAGTGGGCTGAGAGTAGGGGCCTCCATATGTGTTAATAAAAGGGCCATCCCATTATGGGCTCACAAAATGACTAATGAAATGCTAGTCCATAAAATTAAATACAACAATTATTTCATTCAATGCCTTAAGAATCCAAGAAATGATTTTTATGTTAAGTCCTTCGGGGTAGACCGTCAGATCCAACTATGTTAAATTCTACGAGATGTGGGATTCAAAAGAAATTCCTTAAACCATCTGTTATTGCGATCCGTGTTTCTAAATCTATGAATTTCGGGCATAAATGTTTTATTTATATTTATGTTATGTTGAATACAAATTTGTATGTATCTAACTGAATGTTTTATTTAAAATACTCACCCTTACAAATTTTCAAATTAGAACGGGTCGTGCTGAGCGCATTGAAGATTAGACAAGTGGATGCTTATGGGTTGCCAAGTAAAAAAGATGATTTTAATTACATTCATGAATAGACTTTCATTTAACATTTTCAAGTTTAGTATCTGCATTTTTATTTTGTAATTTTAACATTCATGTTTGTGTATTTCGTTTAAATTGATGTTGAATGATTTTAATTAAATTTAAATGTTGGCTACTCTTTTGCATTCATAGGGTCGAATTATCAAAAAAAAATTTACACTTCCAAAGGTAAAGTTTATTTCCTCGAAAATAAGAAATTTGATAACACTTCGTTTTTTTTTTAATTAAGAGAAAAAATGGGGAGTTATAGCTTGGTATTAGAGCTCAGGTTTACCTTTCTACAGACTGAGTAAAAAAAAAATTATATTTTTTCACCATTATGTGATGTTTCATTGATAGTATTATGGGCAAAATTGGTAGAAAAAGAAAAAAGAAAGAAAACGTGATCAGTTAAGTATTTTAATATATATATATATATATATATATATATATATATATATTAGAGACACAACCACCTTATTGGGTCTTTAGAATTGGTGAATTTTTAGTTGTTGACCACCTGTAATTTTCAAATGATAAGAATTGAAGATTTCAACAATTTGATGATGTGATGGAAACATATTTTTTGATACTGATTATTTTTTTTATGATTGTTGATTTGATTGTTGATTGCATAATGATTTTTAGTTGGATCCATGTAGTTTCTTTGGGTTTATTTTCAGCCAAGGCATTATTCCAAATGCAATCAGCACTGTATAAATTCTTTTGAGATAATTTGTACATAACTTAGCTTGCTTGGCTAAGCCTAAATAACGTAAAAAGTCACTTTTAATTTCAAATAGCTTTATTTAATAATTTATTTTTATTTCGAAAGTAATTCATGCCTTAAAAAAAAAAAGGGTAAATTACTTATTTCTACCGATCCAAAAAAAAAAAAAAAATTACTTATTTCTAATTTTGACAAACATGATAATTCATTTAAATGTATTATTTGCTTATGAAAAAATGATCTATTAAGCATCATTGTTGATTATTACAAGGAATCAAATAATAAAATAGCATGCTATTCATTTACTAATTGGAACTTTATTGGTTTCTCCAAGTGAAAAATGCATTTCTGACTTTCTGTTATTGATATTGTTTTTAGTTCTTTTCCTAGTCTACATTGAAAAAAATAATAATAATTGAAAACTAAGTAAAGAAAAATCGGCTGACTACAATTTTAAAGCACACAACCATGCATAAAACAAATTGTTCATTTACTATTGTTTGAATTTTTTTTTTTTTTTTATGGATACGAATTTATAGTCATGTGTTGTTATCATCGTTATTTTATTTTGTAACAAAAAAAGTAATAAAAAAATCTAATTTTGTGTAATAAGTTATAAAGTGTTTACATGTTTCTTAATAGTTCTATAATGAGATTTTAACTAAATCTTAAATAAGTATTAAAAATAAGACCTATGGCATATAATACTCGCCAATCAACTACCTTGGATTTAAATTATGTTCCATTTTATTTTTCAAGTATGATTTATAAATCATTTAAGCTTGAATTTATGAAAAGATTATGATGTTTAGAATGGATTATGTTATTATTTTCTTTTAATATTTAATGAGGCATGATGATTAATCTTTGTATTAAAACATAAGAGCATAGAATATAATGTGATATCGATAACAAAAAAAAAAAAAAAATCAAACATATTTTGACAATTATGTGACAAACATGGCTAGAACTTATCGAACAACTAGAAAAACAATAGCTTGTAAAGAAGCACTGAACCGAATGTCCATCATTCAGTCCTATGCGAATTATGTAACTGACTCGACCCGTTCGCTTGTTGAACATTTTCAAGAAATCTATGAGAGATGTATAGGACGGTTGATGCAAGACTAGAGATCACGCATATCAAGGCTGTTCATAAACTTATAAACTCACTTCCACCTCAATGGGGAGACACGTGAATTGTAGTTAGGGATGAGATTCTAGGAGGTAACCTTCCAGAGCACCTAGACATGATTGAGTTTGGCATATATTGCCAGTCCCTTTTGGATAAGTAGAGTGAGAGGCTACTACCACAACCAGAAGCTAGAAGGTGAGTTGGCAGACGAAGTGGAAGATGAGACCAAGCCAAAGCCCGAGCTTAAGTATGAGTTGGACCCTGAGGAAGAGCCTGAATCGGAGCATGAGGATAATTTTGGGTTGGGGTTAGGGGACAATCTCGAGCCACAAGTCGAAATAGAGAAAGAGTCTGGCCTCGAGGTAGAAGACTCCTCAGAAGACGAGGCACCACCAGAGAAGATTCGTAGGATCCATAAAAATTGGAAACTTATATTCTATTTTCTTTGTTCTATGATGTTTTACATTCTTTCCCTTTTAGAAAGAAAAAGCCTTATGTTATTTAAGATTTACTTATTCAATCAATGGTACAACCTAGTTTCAAGGATTCACATTCATGAGATTTCATTTTCCCTTGAATATAATGAGCTATGTTGTCCGAGATTTCTAAAACAAATTTTTTAAATTTTGTTGATTTAAAGGAAACGGCACAACAACAAAACCAAGCAGCTATGTTCAGGGATCTTATGAAGGCATTGCATGACCTTGGTAGACGACATGCACTAGCTAGTGCCAACAACACATGTGCAATTGTAGAGCAGTTTTGCCATTTCAAGCCTCATTTTGACGACAAAGGTGACCCTTTGGCAGCTGAGGAATGGTTAAGAGGGTTGGAGCGGATCTTCAAAACACATGGAATGTACTGATACCCAAAAGGTATCATGAGTCGAATTTGTGTTGATTGATGCTGATGGGAGTTTGCTTCACGCACTAGAACAGAAGCAGAACAATGCACTATGACTTGAGTATAGTTCAAAGAGGAAATAATGAAAAAGTACTTTCCCCGATCCCTAAGGGATCGAAGAGAGAAAGAGTTTCTACAACAGAAACAAGGAAAAATACTGCTTAAAGATTATGAAAGAAAGTATAAACAACTGTCAACATGTGCTACACACCTCGTGGATGCTGAAGCAAAGAAGACCAGGAGGTTTAAACTAGGATTACGTCCAGAGATTGGAGGAATCATGGCATCTTACCAGACCACAACCTATAATGAAGTACTACAACGAGCTCAGTCAATTTATGATCGACTGGAAATGGATAGGATCGAGAAAAGTAGTGAATCTTTTGGAAAATGAAAGTGGAATGGATCGAACATAAATAAAGGATTTTGACAGAATGAGAAAGCCAATATAGGAAGGTCATGATCAAGCAAACAAAATAAGACTATTCTTCCATGTCCTAAATGCAACGAGGGCTACAGTGGAGAATGTTGGTTTGGAAAGAATGTGTGTTATCGATGTAGACAAGAAGGGCATTTTGCTCTAGACTGCAAGGCATATCCACCTAAGAAAGACTACGAGTAGAACAATAAGGGAAAAAGCCAAAGTCTTTGCTTTGACCCAAGAAGAGGCGACAAATGATCCAAATGTAATGGTAGGTATACTATTAGTATCTAAACTACCTGCGTACATTTTTATAGACTCAGAAGCTACTCATTCATTTATCTCTACTGATTTAATGCTCAACCATGTATTACATATAAAAAATTGGATAGTGTTCTAGAAGTTACAATCCCATCAGGTAGAACATTGAACACCAATCGGATAGCTAGGGCGATAAAGTTAGAAATGGATGGAAGGGGATTAAAAGTTGATCTATACATCTTAGATATAAAAGACTTTGATGTTATTCTGGGAATGGATTGGTTGCGGAGCAATCATGCAACCCTCCGATGTTTTGAGAATGAAGTAATTTTTCAGAAGCTTGGAAAGGAAGAGTTTCGATTCTTCGTGACACGAGTAAAGATTTTACCTCGCATCGTGTCTGCCATGAAGGCAGAGAAGATGTTGAAGAAATCTTGCCATGAATTTTTGGTGAATATATCTGGAGCTCAGCAATCGAAGCTTCCTTTTAGTACAATACCAGTTGTACGAGATCTTATTGATGTGTTCCCTAATGATCTACTTGGCACTCCACTAGATAGACAAGTTGAGTTTACGATTGATCTCGTGCCTAAAGCGGCACCAGTATTTAAAGCTCCATATAGAACGCCATCAAAAGAGCTACAAGAATTGTTGGATAAAGGCTTCATCTAACTAAGTGTATCTCCTTGGGGTTCACCGATTTTATTTGTAAAGAAGAAAGATAGTTCAATGAAGATGTGTATTGACTATCGTGAGCTAAAGCGGTTGACTATTAAAAATAAATATCCCCTACCATGGATTGAAGACCTCTTTGATCAATTGAAGGGTGCAACAGTATTTTCCAAGATTGGCTTAAGGTCAGGTTATCACCAGTTGAAAGTGAAGGCAAACGATATTTCGAAGACGGCATTTAGAACTCGCTATG